TAAAGTTAAGGGGAGCTGCTCAGATTATGGTGAATTTCATCCCAGTGCTTGCATGGCCTTTCAGGGCTTTTCTGAACTTTCTGTATGGTGCTGAATTTCTCCCCCAAATTAAAGCAGAATGCCTTTCCCTGATTCATTTTAGTTAACTGCTGAATAAGGAAACAGCAAACTGTCCATGTTGGAGTTAAGTAGCATGTGCTGTAGTGTCGTAACTCCAAACATTATACCATTTGCTATGGCAAAAGATTAGTTTCCCAGTCCAAAATCAGATACAATGTAATTCATAAAAAAGGAATATGAATAGTAAACAAAAGCACAAAATAATTCAAAGATAGAGTTTAACGAACACTAACAAAGGGAAGAAAATGATTGTGCTTTTTAAATAAGTTGTTTCTGACCTGCTATTTTAATTTGATACTAGCAGGCTCTGAGGACACTGGGGCTGGGTTCTTTAGACCAGTTCTCTTTTGGATACAGTTAGGGATGTTAAATTTAGATTAATTAACTAATTGAATAGTTGATGGGATTTCATTGACTATTCGATTAGTCTATAATGGCACCTCCACCAGACACTCCACAGGGAGCAGGGGCTTCCTTTTCAAATGTACAAGATCTCCACTGGGGCTCTTGTACATTTCAAAAGCAGAAGAGAACATGGGGCCAGTGGGGGACCTCCTTGCTGGCCCCGGCACTTCCTGCTGTGCCTGAGCCTTTGAAACGTACAAAAGCCCTGGCGGGGCTCTTGTACATTTCAAAAGGAAACCCCGCAGGGAGCACAGGGCCAGCGAGGGAGTCTCCCCACTGGACTCTTGTACATTTCAAAAGAAGAATAGCAGAAGTGGTGCAAGTGTGGACTGCTTCAGTCCCCACTTGCGCCGTTTCCACTGTGCCTCTACCTCCTGTCCCCCACAGAGATGGTGCTGGGGTCAACCAGCTTTTAAGCCAGTTCCCCCAGCACCAGCTCCTTCCCCCCCCCCTTGCTGCCTCTCTCTGATAGAGGAAGTGGGCCGGGGGGGAGGGAGAGGGGAAGAGGGGCAGGAGAGACAAGTCCTATCACTAGTTTCTGCTTATCACATAGCTGACTAGTCACTTACATCCCTAGATGCAGTCAGTCTCCTCAGAGTGACAAAGGATTATAACCTGTTTTAGACACACAGTTCCAGTTAACAGGTTTCTGCTTTGCCCACTAGTGTGGATACTGCTAGACAACATATTGTAACCTACGTTTTTAAGAACACAACTTTAATACTCTTGGGCCATGTTCAGACACTAGCTGGCAAGAGCATTCTGGAAACAGGTTTACTGAACTGTACTCAAACATGGCTCCTAAACACTGTGAAACAAATAGAGTAGATAAGAAGGAACAAGTCACAATCTCGGCTATTTTCTCTTTTTCCCTTTCCAAACTTTGTAGAATCATAACGTCTAAACAAGTGTTTGTGTAGGAATAAATATTTCCACTATATGATGAAATTTCTGGATAAATTAATACCTTTAAAAATACTAAACTCTTCTGCAGAAAGGGCCTATAACAACTGAAAAATCTCACTGAAGACTGTGCCATAGTTAATAGGAGCTCACTGAATCAGGAGGCAGAACCCAGTAAACTGAATATCAACAGGGCTGCTGGGAGCTTAAGCTAGGCCGAGTTTGTCCCATTCTGTCTTAACATCAGTGGCTAGTTGAAAAACCTATTTTTTCCAAGTTGGTTCTAAACAGCTACTAGATTTACCGGGTATTGCTTGGGTACTTATCTCAATTTTTGTTTTTCTTCATTTAAATCACTGCTCTGAGGTGGGACTGGGGATTCAGTATGCAGGCTGCCCTGTGGATAAAGGCTACCGCAGCTCTGTCACTGCAGTAGATTGGGCCGGGTGAGAAACGCCTCTCCATGGCCATTATAGGTGCAGGGGGGTACAGCCAGGGGAGGGTGCATGTCCAGATTCATCCACCCCACGTCCTCCCAGTCAGAGGTACAAACAAAAGCACAAAATAATGCAGTAAACCGGGCACTTTCCCTTTGCTCCCTGGAGAAGCAGAGTTGACAGAAATGTCCCTGTACGAACTGGGGAGAACAGAGGAGAACTTCAGGCCCCCTTTCTCTCACTAAAGAGAGCCAGGGGAGTGGGAGGGCCTGGGCTGTGTCAGTCCTGGCTGTTAGGGAGCTGGAGAGCTCCCCAGACAGTCCCTTTAACATGTCTCATGATTGCCTTTTTTCTGTATGGTTTTATGAGAAGCAATCCCATACCAGGCATGCCCAAATCTTACCTTGCTTTAAGTTATGGTAAGAGGAACCTGTATACCGAATTTGCTGATCCTAGCTCTTACCATTTAAGAATTCTTGAACAAACAGACGGACTCTCTCAAATATATAGTAGAAAACTAGAACACTATGTAAGGATGTCAAAGACTAGTCAATAAATGCTTATCGGATAATCATCACTTTGACTAGTCGATAGGCACTTCCGCATTCCTCCTTTGAAATGTACAAGAGCCCCTGCTGGGGCTCTTGTACATTTCAAAGCCATGGAACCCAGGATCAGCGGGGGACTCTGAGTCCCCTGCTCACCCAGGGCTCCATGCTACTAGGAGCCCTGAGTCAGCTGGCAACTCTCCAGCTGACCCCAGGCTCCCCGCAGCTGCTCCTTTGAATTGCATAGATGCGTGGTTCAAAGCGACAGCCGCTGTGCAGCTGATCTGTGCATCTGTATAGTAATATAATAAGGACATACAACTTCAGCTAAAAGTAGAAATATTACCCATTTAGAATGAACACACACATGCATACACACACAACTCTCTCTCTCAGCCATATCATGCCATTAATTTTTGAGCGGCAGCCCCCAGTGAAATCAATTAAAAGTTTTTTTTCCCCCCTACTCTCTACATCACAAATGGCCACATCATGCATTCTGAGAGAGAAATGAGTGGTAAATGGAGGAGGACCCCCAAATTCACAGACACAACTAACTCTCACCTGTTTGCCTTCAGGAACAGGGTTTAATGTACCATACATGGCCACACTGCTCTCTGTAGAGAGGATCACTCCATTGTAACACTGACACTACAGGAAAAAAGACCAGACAATCATATTTAATTTACAACTAGAGTACAAATGTCATAAGTGTCCAGAGACACAGAAAGAAGGTTCATAATCCCGTTAACTCATTCTGTGAACAAGACCTCCAATAGTACTAGTGAGAAAAAAAAAAGTCTCCTTTAATTCACTGAAGTTTTATGGAAAGTTTAAACTCAAGCTTTCAAGTGGCGTATAAAAATGAAGCAACTGGGTATTAACATTTTCTCTTTTGCATTGAAGAATAAAATAAAACCGCACAACTCACCAGTTCATCTGACAGGACACACTGCAGAAATCCGGTGCCATCTCTTAACACCAGGAACATCAAATTTTTCCCTAGGAACCAAAAACAAAAATCCAGATTCATCAGACAAAAATACCCTATTATTTTATTCAGCTCAGCAGGTTTACACCCAGCAAATGTTTTCAGTCTGTTGTGGATTGCTCATGATCACTAAAGTACCAGAACTACACTCAAAAGCAGGGGTGGGGAACCTTTTTTGGGTTGGGAACCACTAACACACCCCTTCCTCTCTAAAGGCACCCCATGCAGGAAAGGGGCTGAGGAGGGGGTTTCCCTTCTGTCCTACTCCTGCAAAGGATTCCCCACTCCCCCCCCCATACCTCCTTAACCGTTAAGGGGGAAGAGACTGGGGGTAGGAAGGAGAACCTGGCCCGCTGTGGCCTCCCCCATGCAGGGAAGGGACTCAGGGGCTTCCCGTCCCTCACACTCTGGGGATGGATTTCCCTCTCCCCCTTCCCTCCCAGTCCCTGCATGCCTCTAACAGCTCCAGCCTCTTCACAGCTACCTGATGTGGGGGAAAGGCAGCATGCACAGAAATGCAGAAGCACCTGTTTACACAGGAGTTCCAGCATGTGGAGCTTTTCCCTAGCATGCTTCTCCTATGTGCAGGAGAGGAACCAGAAGTGTCTGCCTGCACTACAGGGGAGGTTGGGGGAAGTTTTTAAAGCAGTCCCCAGGACCCTCACAGTGTTTCATTGTGGCTGGACTCCCTCCTCCCCCACCCCTGAGAGTTGGTTTAAATTGTTTGCCAGGCTGGATCTGTCCCGTGGGCCGGAGGTTCACTACCCCTGCACTAAAGCAATGAGTAGACGATAAAACCCTTTCCACAGAACTGTTTTATGCCAAAGGAGTCAGAATCATAGAATACTAGAACTGGAAGGGACCTCGAGAGGTCATCGAGTCCAGACCTCTGCCCTCATGGCAGGACCCAGTACCCTCTAGATCATCCCTGATACATGTTTATGTAACCTGCTCTTAAACATCTCCGGTGATGGAGATTCCACAACTTCCCTAGGCAATTTATTCCAGTGTTTAACCATGCTGACAGTTAAGAAGTTTTTCCTAATGTGCAACCTAAACCTCCCTTGCTGGAATGTAAGTCATTCCTTCTTGTCCCATCAGAGATTAAGCAGCATAATTTTTTCCTGTGTAACACCTTTTTAGGTACTTGAAATATGTCCCCTCTCAATCTTCTCCTTCTCAAACTAAACAAACCCAGTTACTCCAGTCTTTCCTCATAGGTCACGTTTTCTAGACCTTTAATCATTTCTGTTGCTCTTTAGCCTCCAATTTCTCTACTCCTTCCTGAAATGTGGTGCCCAGAACTGGACACAATACTCCAGTTAAGACCTAATCAGCACAGAGTAGAGAAGAAGCAGGACTTCTTGTGTCATGCTCACAACATTCCTGTTAATACCCCCCAGAATGATTGCTTTTTTTGCAAGTGTCACACAGTTGACTCATTTAGCTTGTGATCCAAGATATCTTTCGGCGGTATCCCTTCTTATACAGTTACTTCCCATTTTGTCATGTAGAGGGCCTAATCTTAGATGCCAGTCACTACCTAAATGCCCAGCACAAAATCCTTGGTCCACTGAAGTGAATGGTAAACCTTCTATTCATCTCAATAGGGTCAGGATTCTATCCCCAAAATATGTGATAAGGGGTGTTGGATGTTCTCAAGGCTTAGCCCTTTGGACCTGCCATACAGAACTGATATATAGAAGTCCTGAATATGTAGGTCCCAGTTACAGCTATTGTGGGAGAAACAATGTAGCCCTTCCCATCCACAAATAAAGCTTTCTTGTGAAAGTTTTTCCTTCTGGAAGGAAACTGTTTACACAGTATGTCATGCAACAGGAATCATCATTTAGGCAGGATAGCCAGCACTACCCTCCAATCCCTAGCTCACACATAGTTTAGTTCTTCTAGGATACCTGACAGATGACAACAGTGAAACCAGGATTAGGATGGAAAGCTTTACCAGGTGCTACAGAAGCTGTTCATTTTCCCCACACCTACCAGCTTTCTCTGGTATGAGCAAGGTGAGCTGAATGGGACCGGTTATACTTTACACCTTGGATCATTACCATCTGTTCCTCTTCTCTACATCAACTTGATTATTTTTTAAGGGCTAGCTATTTATCTTGTCTACATTAAGGACTGTTTACCTTGTCTACGTAACCTGTGGACCCAGCCAAAAACCTTCACTCGTTGGCCTCTGTGTGCCTCTAAAGCACGAATCTTCGCCTATAAAGCACAAATTAAAATCCATGAACCACAGAGATTAAATCATAACCTGACATCTAGACAGCCATCTACAAGATGGAACTCCAATAGTGCACTGGCCAGGAAAAGAGATCGACTTCAGTGAGTTGAGCACAATGACCATTTGCTTACGGCGGAGTGGAAATCTCAAAGCAAAATTCTTTCATACGTGCTGTAAGGAGTGTTTTCAAGACTGATCTGGCAAAATGTTTAATTTTTTCGTCACAATTCCTCTCTCATTTAGACTTGCCACTCTCCACTGACTTCAATGTGGCTGCATGTAGAACTGGGGCGGGCATTTTATTTATATTTATATTAATTCAAAAATATGTTTCTCAATCTGTAATATTTTCTCCCACCCTGGCAAACCCCTTCTGTTGGAAGATTTAAAAAAAAAAAAAAAAAAAAAAGGTCTTTTAATCAATTAACAAACAAAAACAAAACTCATCACGCTGTTTCAAACAGAAAGCTCTTTTCCTTTGGTATATGTGCACTTAGAGACTCCAAAATTAAAATCAAGCAGGTTTAGTGAACTGTGAGGTGCATGAAGGAGATGAAACATCAGGATATGCTAATGAGCAGAGAGAATAAAATCTCAAGGAAGGAACAGCATAGTAGTTTTCAACAGCTGGTGATGATGCAGCGTGTTCCTTAGAATCATGCTGTTTATAAAGAATGAGATTGTTACAGGTGCTTCTTATTAAGAGCATTAGATTTCACTCACACATTTAGGCTCTGGGAGACTGGGATCATTCTTGATGGTAATTTTCTTTGCTTCCTCCAGATTCTTCTCTCGTCGCAAAATGTCTGCTGCCTAATTTTAAGAAGTTTTTCCATAAATGATACATTAGCATTAATGATAACTACAGTCAGGTTATTTATACCAGTATCATTCCGCACAGATAGCAGTATGAAACCTTAACAAAATCTCTAACAACGAATGCTTACGCAATCTCAGCACTGCTCCAACAGGTCTAAAACCCTGCCCTAAGGTACATGGATATGATTCCCAGGGCATGAAACACTTCCTAGAAGTGCTATTAACCTGGTTTAGAGAAAGTTGGAGGAGTTTAGAGACATTCACATATAAAAGTTACAGAAATACATCCCATCCCTGACAAAAATCATTTGCCTGTCTTGATGAAGTGAAAACAACCAACAAACATTTACCATTTAAGGTTATGCTTACCAATTAATTGGTCAACTGTTCAGATCCCTAGTCTGTACTGCAATGTTATCCCAAAATTGAAGGGTGAACAGAACTGAAGTTCCCAGACCCTGAGTTTGTTAACCTGGAGTTTGAATGTCTACACTCATTTGTAACCTCAGGTTTAGAGATGTAAACTACTGTTTAGAAAGGCAATAGGAGTGAAACATTATACCCAAAGATGAAACAGGACCTATTATATTAAACTTTCTCTGCCCTTCTCTGGCAAAATTACACTCTTTAAGCACAGAAGCAATGGGCTTAGAAATTGTAATTCCTATGACTGCACAGATAACTTGGCCTGCTACAGCCTTAATTGACCACTTCAACAGTACACTCAGGATTAACATGTACCATTTTCAGGGGAAGTAAGTTGGATACAAAAAATTTCTAAATGAGTTGAATGCTCCTGACTTGGCAGTTTTCAAAACCCACCTCTTTCTTCTCCCTAGCTTCATTCTTCATTTGTTCTCGCTGCCATGCTTTTTTGACATTCTTCATTTGTGACTTAGAAATAACATCCCATCTCTAGATGGATCAGGGGAAGAGGGGAAAAGAAAGATGTTACTTGTGCCTTAAAAATCAGAACCTCAACACTCATTTAATTAGAAATATCCCTTTTAAATTGCATCACCTCATTTTCTTTTTGTGAGTCCACATAAATAGTAGGAAATGGTTCCTTTCCTGCAGTTATCAAAGCCTTATAGGGAAAAAATAGGCAAAAGTCAGTTTCATCACAAAAGTACTGAATCCAGACTGTCAATTAGATAATATGGTGGACATACTATATTTACAAAACACATCAATGATGATCAGATGTTAAACAGATATTATATACATTTAAAGAGAACAGCAGCTTAAAAAAACCTTTCAGGTCACACCTATCTCACAACTTGTTTACAACAGTCCCTAAACAACTGGCTGTTTGTCCTGAAACGAAACATGACTTTTGAAATAGACTCTGCAAATACCTTCAGAGCAGTTTTGAAAGGCTTCTTCTCTGTTCCATCGCCAGTAGAATCGCAGCCCTCGCGTTCAGACACATATATCTCTCCTTTAATAAAGGACAAGCACATACAGGTATTTTAAAGAGAACACAAACTAGGCAAGCTGAAAGGGACTGGGCATTTAATATGGCTTTCAAAATATACTCAAAAAATAATCAATGAAGACACATTTTTGAAGAGACGTTAAGCCTCGTATTCCTGGTCTTCAATAGGGATGTGAAGAACTAGTCAACTATCCAATAAGCAAATGCTTATCGGACAGTCAACAGGCTGGTCACTAGTCGCTTTCCCCACTTGCTGCTTCTATCAGAAAGAGGACTCAGCTGACCTGGGCCTCCACGCAGCCTTTTCACCTTTGAAGTTTAGCAACAGTAGTAGCGCTGTTGCTACACTTTAAAGGCAGAGGCACCCTATCGACTAATTGAACAGTTGATGCAAAATGCATTGATTAGTCAATTAGTCAATATTTAACTTCCCTAGTCTTCAAGACAATCTCTAACTAGCAGGGCATCTGCACTGCAACATAATCCCAGGGTGAGCAAACTGAAGTTCCCAGACCCTGGGTTTGTTAACCTAGAGCAGTGGTCTCCAACCATTTTACACCCAAGATCACTTTTTAAATGACAGACCAAACCAAGATCTACCACCCCGCCCCTTCCTTGAAATCCCACCCCTTCCTTGAAGTCCAGCCCTCTCTATTCTCCTCCTCTCCATAACTTGCCATCCCCAATCCTTATACTGCTGCTTTAAAAAAAAATCTTCTGTAGTAAGGGTTTTTTCCAACATTTGGCCTGTCTAGACTGGACCAAATGTCAGAAAAACCCCTTCTTTTGGAAGCCCCTTTATTCCTCGTGGAAAGAGGAATATAGGGGTGACCAAAAGAGAATGTTTGCTCTTCCACTAAAAAAAGCGGAAGAACAAATGCAACCCTGGATGCAGAAGAGTTTTTTCTGGGATATCTCCAGAATCCTGAAAAACTCCTGCAGTCTAGCCGGACCCTCACTGGGTTGAGACAGGATGTGTAGTCTCTGGGGTGGGAATGAGGGACTTGGGTGTGGGAAGGGGTGAGAGGTGCAAGGTCTGGGAGGAAATCTGGATGCAGGAGGAGGTAGAGAAATGGACATAGGCTTGGGGAGGGGGCTCCAGGCCGGGCAGTGTTGGGGTCAGATGGAGGGTTGGGGTACTAAGCAAGCCACAGGCTTGTGGATGTGAGGGTTCAGGAATTTGGTTTGGGGTATATGAGGGGCTCAGGGCAGGGGGTTTCAGTGT